CCAACTCCCCACATCTCCAGGTGCTCTTCTTCTCCCTCTTCCTCCTGGTCTACCTCTTGTCCTTAGTAGGTAATGCACTCATTGTGCTCCTTGTGGCCCTGGATGGGCGCCTCCACACTCCCATGTACTTCTTCATCTGCAACCTCTCCTTAGTAGAGCTCTGGTATACCATAGTCACTCTGCCCAAGATGCTGGCCAACTTTCTAAGTGCCCAAGGGGTCATCTCAGTTCCCAGCTGCATCACTCAGTATTACTTCTTTTTCTCCTTGGCTGCCACTGAGCTCTTCATCCTCACCACCATGGCCTTTGACCGCTATGCTGCCATTTTTCACCCACTCCACTACCCACTGTTGTTCAGTCCCCAAACGTGTGCAACCCGGGCTGGGATCTGCTGGTTTGTGGGTTTCCTCTGTCCCATGTTCCACTCCTTTCTCCTTGCACAAATCTCTTTTTGCACACCAAACCAGATCAACCACTTCTGTGATGCAGATCACATTTTCCACCTTTCTTGCATAGACACATATGTCATTCAAGCAGTAGGCTATGCTTTTAGCACTGCCAGTATCCTAGGAGCCCTAGCCTTTACCATGGCTTCCTATGCCCAAATCCTGGCCACAATATTAGCTATGGCCTTAGCTGCAGCCCAACGCAAAGCCTTCTCTACCTGCACAGCCCACCTCTCCGTAGTAACCATCTACTTTGGTATTCTCATCTTCATGTATGTCCGCCCGGCAGTAAAATATGAGTCAAACATCAATAAGATTGTGGCTATTTTCTACTCAGTCATCATCCCACTTCTTAATCTTCTCATCTATACACTCTGTCACAAGGATGTCAAGGAATCTCTGAAGGTGTTGGTGTCCCGGATCCAAAGAATCTGCCAGGCAAGCAAGCAGTCTCGGTGATGGGGCCACATAGGTAACCAGAAGAAAGCAAAGCTGGATGACTATCCAGAATAAAATCTTCTTTATTCATTTTCTTTGTCATGTAGTGTCGCGACCCCTTGCCCGCAAGGAAGACGCAACTCAGGAATCTTCTTTCAGCAGTTTATTCAGGTCCTTGATATTTCTTCTTCTAACTCTCGGATGCCCCTCCCAGCCTTAATAAAGCATCTCAAGCCCCAATGCAAAGCTGCCACGTGGAGCTTTCTCATAGGGTGGTGAAAAACCATGCGCCAACTCTCCCAAATAAGGAGTTGTTTGTCACAGACCACAGTGGAGCCAGCGCCATCTTGTAATGGGGACCACGGTCTAATTAGAACGGCTCACCACAATGTAGCCTCTTTAAAAAATATTAAATTTATTTATTTGCCTTGTATGAGTTATCTGGGCATATTTTAAATGAAAAAAAAAAGTCTTCTCCTACAAAGCATACTGTCCATATGCTGCCTGCTCCTTCAGCTGTTCTTAGGGGGAAAGAAATGGATAATTTCACATTAATATT